TGCCTCGCAGATGGCCCCTCTGCTGCAGGGCTAGGCCCACAGTCTCAACCTACCACTATCACCATGGGGACCCAGGATATGCTCTCAGTTTGAGTTCTTGAAGGACCTTATGGCTTCCTGCCAACCTGAAATGTGCACCCTGGGCTCTACTTAAGTGAGAAATATACTTTTATTTTATATGAGTGATTGCATCTTTGGGTCTCTTTTAGTAGCGTTTTAACCTATTCTAACTAATATGCTTGTTTGAGTAGAGTAGTCAAATGTCAAGGTGATTAGGCCACAGAGATTTTTCAACATGAGCAAAATATACAGGGGAAGAAATTTTCATAAACACTTTTACTCTGAATAAGACACTATAAATGAAAAAACTAGTTCTTTAATTATGTTGGGATTTATCTTGAGTAACATTTAAGGTTGTCAGTTTAGGCACTCTTATTATGGATTATTAATTTTGCTGCCAAAAATTAATTTGCTTTTGGGGGCCATCCCAGTGGCATAGTGGTTAAGTTCGCATGTTCCGCTTTGGTGGCCCGGAGTTTGCAGGTTTGGATTCTGGGTGCAGACTGACGCACTGCTAGTCTAAGCCACGCTGTGGTGATGTCCCATATAAAGTAGAGGAAGGTCAGCACAGATGTTAGCCCAGGGCAAATTTTCCTCAGCAAAAAGAGGAGGATTGGCAATAGATGTTAGCTCAGGGCTAATCTTCCTCATACACGCACACACACAAAATTAATTTGCTTTTTATCCAATGAGACTAGTATTGCACTAGTATTGCAACTTGGAATTGCATAGAACTTTAAGAGGTCATCGTATGGTAGATGATTGTTATTATGGATGGCCAAAAATTCACTAGAGAAAAAAGAGAGGGAGTCCCTAACATAGAGGACGACTGTTGGGGTACAGATTGGGTGTTATAAATCACCTCTTGAGAGAAAGTGTGCCAACCACATAATTTATGAGATCTTTCTGCCTGCTACCTTTTCCAAGGTCTGGCCGCAGTCTGCATTCCAAGCGTATGTATTTTTTCTGACATTAGGGCTCACAGGGATTCACTGTCACTTGCATTCACTTGGACTCAAATAGTCTTCATTTTTCTTAGGCATTATACCAAAATTAAACCTTAAGACTGGTGTGAGGACCAGTGGAAGATCTGTCCCTTTTAACAATAGAAAGAGCTCATTCTTCCCCCATCCTCCAACTCACTTGTGTAGACCAACTGTATCAAACAACAAAACATATAGGCTTTTGAATCAGAGGCTTGTGCATTGGGTGCAGTGGACTAAAAAGCAAGTAGAGGCACCAACTCCTCATCTTATCTACCACCCATGGTTAAAAAATAGATATTCCCTTGGCAATGGGAGCAGTATTAGTCATTCCTCTTGGACCGTGTATTAACTGCTTCTGGACCCGCAAATCAGCAGCTCATTCAATGGAGAAGCCAAGGAGTAGTCTTAAAGCACCATCTGATTAAGTGAGATATTCCTCACAATCAGTAGTACCAGCTTGGTACTATTGGCCTTTTTATATTCTTTTCCCTTGCTTCGGCCATTAAAAAGAGAGGAGGAGTATCATTCATCATTGGTCCATGTCACTTAAATTTGTCAAATCATGATTAGAAAATATTTTCTTTATTCTTCCTAAAAATTTTTCATGAGTTTATAAAATTTTACTTTTCCCTCTTAAAACTCAACTCTGAAGCAGGGGCTTGTTTTTTATTGGTTCATCTGCTTTTTGTTTGTTTGGTTTTTTTGTTTTGTTTTACTTTTTTGGTGAGGAAGATTGGCCCTGAGCTAACATCTGTTGCCAGTCTTCCTCTTTTTGCTTGAGGAAGATTGTCCCTGAGCTAACATCTGTGCCAGTCTTCCTCTATTTTATATGTGGGATGCCGCCACAGCATGGCTTGATGAGCAATGTGTAGGTCTGCGCCCGGGATCACAACCTGTGAACCCCAGGCTGCTAAAGCGAAGTATGTGAACTTAACCACTAGGTGACCGGGCTGGCCCCTGCTTTTCGTTTGTTTGTTTGTTTTGTTTTGTGAGGTAAAGTTAAATAACAATAAACTAAAAGGTGACAGAATTTGTTAAATACAAGGTTTTAGTTTAGTTTTATGATCCTCACATCCCTATTTCTTAGGTGATATAATCATAATGATGATCTTAATTTGCTTATTCATCTTTCACTTAAATACCTCCTATGCTAGGGAACTCTGTCTCATTTTAGAATACTGTTACTGTTAGAAGTTCTTCCTTATTTGGCCAAAATCTTATCTGTAACTTTTATCCATAAGTCTAGTTCTGCTATTCAGCATCACATAGAACATCTAGATTTTGAAAAATAATTATTTTACTGTAAAATAATACACAGATACAGGAATCCACTAAATGGATTTTTATAGTAATCATTTTCTTTCCTTCTTTATAGTGTTATCACCCAAATGTGTGTCCCTAGACATATAGTTTAATCTTGCCTATTTTGTTTTGATGATATGTCTTTTAAGTCTTTTAATCTATAGGTAGCAGAACCCAGGCCATTTTATCTATAAGACTTCCTACTAGCTAGATTTTACTGATGCTTATTCTCAGTGAAATTCAGCATGTTCCTCCGTTCTCTGTATTACCTGAATATTGACAACTGGATTCTGAGGCTTGATCAGACTCAGATTTGATCCTTGTGGCAAGACTGTAGGTGGTATTGTGTTCTTTTATCAGGAGGCACCTAATGTCTAGTTACTTTTCCTTTTGTGGTGTTAGCAGCTATTAATGTTCAGTGGCTAGATCTGTTAATTCATTGGGGTCGCAAAGTGTTGATATTCTAATTTTTTCATGTCTTTTACATTTATTAATTGGAATACTTTATAAAGAGATACTTTCCTTCATCTACTATTTGGTTACAACTACTATTTGACTACTCTTTGGTGCAGTTCATATAGGAAATGCTGAATTTTGGTCCAATTAAGTCTGGCAGTTTTATTGAAGACAACTGTCTTAACATCATGATGCTCAAGAATGTTTTAATTAAATGAGTGAATGTAACTGTTATAATTCCCTTAGTAAATCTTTTCTCTGGACTAAACATTCCAAAATCCTTCAACAGTTTTCTGTACGTCTTAGCTTCCAAGACTTTGTTATCTTGGATGCTGTGTTCTGAACCCTTTACATAAATGTTTGTTAATGTTCCTTTTAACATGACCACTTAAAAGGAGGCAGCTTCATATCAATTGATATGGAAAAATCTCCAAGATACAGTGCTAAGTGAAAAAAAGCAAAATATATACTATATGTCTGTACTAAACTCTGCCAGTGCAGGAATGCAAAAAGTGTATTCCTTTCCTTGACCTATTATTTCAAACTAAAACTAATTAATAATATTCAGTAGCATAATTTAGTGGCTGTTGTAACAGTCAAGGAAGCTAATTTTCAGTCTGAAAATCATTGACTTTTAAGTTATCTTTCTTCCTTTATCTTGTATTTGATTGATGTAACTTTGTAGTTCACAAAGCCATCTTTGGCAGGAGCTATAGCTTATACCCTAAATTTTGTCAACTGATTTTTTTGTTGTTGTTCAGAAGAAGAACAAGAATATAGATGGCCTAAGGAAAGTCATTTCTTCTGTAGCTAATATTACCCAGCACATAGTTGTAGTTTAATATAAAATGCCTTTGATTTAAGACTCGTAACTAAGTCTCAAGGCTGCGAAGGGGTTGAAAAACTCCTTAGTGTGTTTGCCACGTACCAAGTCCTTTGCTAAAATCTCCTCTGAAATCAGCATTCAGATTTTAATGCAAATTACCATTGGAAAGATTCCTGTCATGTTTAGTTACAAATTAGCGGTTCTTTCTTAGTTACTGAAAGCCCATCTGGTAGTGGAATTAAGACCATTGTTAAACAGGTGCTGTCAGTGACCTCAAAATGACCATCTAGCCAGGACTGACAGTTATAGTAATAGCTGTGTTAACACAGCAAATTAAAAACATTAATAATAGTTTTATTAATATTAGTGAATTGCTTTGTAGACATTGAACTGATGGGTTTTTAGATCATATTGCCTTGACACGTTTTCTAACCAATTATTTATAAGATACTATTTATTGTTGGCTATCTCAACATAGAAAATCCAGAAATGAGAGAAATCTTTGCACTGTTTGTACGACAAGTACTATATAGTTGGTATTTTGGTGAAAAAGATTTCTCTCATACCTGAATTTGTAAAAGAATATTATGCAGAAGACACAGAAACATTTTCTATGTTCCATGCACAGAATGAGGGCTTGGATGCCAGATAAGGAAATGGGCTTTCATATTAACATAACACTCTTTTAGTTAAATGTATGCCATATTTGATTTTATTCCTATTCAAATATTTGCTTGTGTTCTTCCCAACTTGGCTCTTTTATAATATGCTGTATGTAAAGAATCTCGGGCAGTTTGCTTAATTTTATAGTCAAAAGTGAAAGTCTTATTGCTTCAGACCTGTTAATAATTGAGTTTTCATGATATGTATTTTTTTATGCTATCATTTAATGTATTTGTGTTTGAAAGACTGTTAGCTATTCAAACTTATGAAGTCTCGAGTCTGTTTTGTTCTAGGATTCAGAAAATTACATAGAAGTAAAAACTATAAAATCGATGCCTTTTAAAAAACTTGGTATTTAAGAACCTATAGCCTACCATATGTATGACACTATACTCTCTTACTGAGACCTTTTGATTTCTCCTATGACATTTTTCAGTTTTGCTAGCTTTCAGTGATTTAAGAAATTAGAAAATTATTCAGAAAAATTTCTAAACAAAAGTTCCATGAGCATTGCCTCAACTGGAGTATGAATGGTATATTGGAAGAAAGAGGTGGTTCAAAAGTTTTGAAATTCAAATTTATTTCTAATATAAAAAATCCAGTTATAGAAATAAATGATAAAATAAAAATTTCCAAAAAATAAGATATAAAATATATAAACTGAGAATTGCTTAACATAGTAACACTGTCTGAATTTCTAATTTTAGGTGATGGAATATGAGAATAGGATTCGAGCATATTCCACACCGGACAAAATCTTCCGATATTTTGCCACCTTGAAAGTAATCAATGAGCCTGGTGAATCTGAAGTGTTTATGACTCCACAAGATTTTGTGCGATCTATAACACCCAATGAAAAACAACCAGAACGTAAGTTGCTAAAGTGAAAAATAAGATTTTAATATTTATTTTGTTATGCTACTTTGTTTCTTTCTTTGTATTGTCTAAACTTTATATGTCCATGCGATAATTATATTCACTGTTTGTATGAATTATAGTCACTGTATGTATTAGCTACTGAACGTCAGACATTATTATGCTAGGCTTTAGAAGTATTAAAGAGGAGGCTACAATCTAATGTGGCAATCCTCAACCAGGGTAAAGGGTTGAGGAGCTTGTACCCCTCTGGCTGAGATTCATTAAGTGTAATGAGAATGTTCCTGAAGGCAATGCATTACACATGTGACTGCTGTCAAGTTACTCTTTAGTGAGGGAGAAAGAGACAGTAACAGGTAATTTCAGGAATGTGGTGATTTGTTAAAGAACAGAAGATGCTGTGGCAGTATACAGAAGGGGCACTTAGCTCAATCTGGAAGTTTGGAGAATGGTTTCTAGAGAATACTTTTAAGTTTGAATAAAAGTTAGACAAACAAAAAATGGTGGAAAGGATGACTCATGTAGAGGAAACAGCCTGAAAAAATGAGGTGTGAGGAAAAAAATAAATGGCTTAATACGTAAATTAAATGTAACAATTTACACATGTATATGGGAGACAAGGTGGGAAAAATGATGGAATAGGGAACTCCAAGAATCAATCCTTCCACTGAACAACAGTTAAGCTGCCAAAATGGGCAGAATCAACTTTTTCGGAAATTTGGAATCTAATCAGAAACTTACAGCCAGGGGGGTGCTTAATGAAGAAACAGGCTGCTACATTTTGGTAGGAGAGCGTTGTGGCCTTTTGCTTACCTACTCACCATGGAAACAGTAGCCTGCATTTCCAGTATGGCTTACTGGTGATGGGGAGTTCAGTGGGGGGCATTGTAGACTTTGTTTTCAAAAATTGTGGTTGTGCTCCCTGAGGGACCAGCACAAAGGCTTGCCTTTGTTTTGCCCACCTCAAGCTAGAGTGGTTTCCCAAGTATCATCTACTAAAAAAATTTTAAAAAATATAAAGACATATACTACCCATAGTCACTGGGCCAAGGGAGGGCAGATGGGACAAGCAGCAGACAGACTGAAAAGCCTAGGAAGGAGGAGGGCTGAGGAGGAAGATTTTTCAGGGAATAAGAGCTTTGAAAGGCTACTGCATATACTGTGGAATCCAGAGTGCAATATGCATGCTCAGGGCCAGACACATGCGTGGAAAAGACTTGAGTGGGCTTGTACTTCTTGCTGATCTTTAAGTTCCATGCAAGAAGGAGGTAAAAGTTAAAGCGGAGTTGTAGGAGGTCTAGCTAAACATCAGAGGAGGGCCCTAGCTCGAGCCAATCTGCATATGCTAAGAGAGTGGGGTGTGTTTTGTTTTGTTTTGTTTTGTTTTTTCATTCTTTTTACCTCCAGCATTTAAAGAAATCTTTGTCAGGTCACTTGGTGACTGCTTAGATAATAGAACAGAAACTTCAGTGATGACAGATGACTAGGAATACAATCTTTATAAAAATAGTTTGGAAAAATCACTAACAAAGTGATGACTGTAGTCCTCAAGTTACAACACCAAATTCTGGGAAGGAAAGAGAATCTGATTTCCAGATTTCCACACTGTAATATTCAATGTCTCATTTTCAATACTAAATTGCATGGCATACTAATAATCAGGAATGTGTGACCCATTAAGGGAAAAAAAGAAAGAAATTGACAGAAACAATCCCTGAGGAAGTCGAGACATTGCACTTACTAGACAAAGACTTTAAATTGACTATCTTAAATATGCCAAAGGAAACCATAGACAAAGAACTGTAGGAAACAAGGAAAACAATGTATTAATAAATAAGAGAATATCCATAAAGAAATAGAAGTTATAAAAAGGATCCAAGTAGGAATTCTTGCCCGGAAAAGTACAGTAGCTGAAGTAAAAAATTCACTAGAAGAGTTCAACAGAAGATTTGAGCAGGCAGATAAAACAATTAGATAACTTAAAGATCAATTGATATTGTCCAGTCTGAGGAGCAGAAAGTAAAAAGAATGAATAAAAATTAACTGAGCCTAAGATACTTGATACTTGTGGCACACCATCCAGGGTACCAACATATGCATAATGGGAGTCCTAGAAGGAGAAATTCAGACATTTACAGATAATCAAAAGCTGAGGAAGTTTGTTTCTAGTAGACCTTCCCTATAAGAAATGCTAACTAGAGTCTTTTAGGCTGAATGAAAGGATACTAGACAGTAACTTAAAGCCATACAAAGAAATAAAAAAATAATAAAGACCAGTGAGGGTAACTACGTAGGGAAATACCAAAGCCAGCATTATTTTATTTTTGGTTTGTAACTCCTTTTTATTTCGTATATGATTTAAAAGACAAATTCATAAATAATTATAAATATGTTAATGTTGCTTCATACTAGATTATTATCAATTTAAGATGTTAGTTGTAATCTCCAGGTTAACCACTAAGAAAATAATTGAAAAATATACAGAAAAAGAAATGAGGAAGGAATAGAAATGGTACACTAGAAAAAATCAGTCAGGGCCGGCCCCGTGGCTTAGCGGTTGAGTGCGCGCGCTCCGCTGCTGGCGGCCCGGGTTCGGATCCCGGGCGCGCACCGACGTACCGCCTCTCCGGCCATGCTGAGGCCGTGTCCCACATACAGCAACTAGAAGGATGTGCAGCTATGACATACAACTATCTACTGAGGCTTTGGGGGGAAAAAGATAAATAAATAAAATCTTTAAAAAAAAAAAAACAAAGAAAAAATCAGTCAAACACAAAAAAGGACAAGATTGGAGGAATCAAGGGACAAAAAAGGTATAATACGTATAGAAAACAAATAAGATTACAGAAGTGAGTCCTTTCTCTTCAGTAATCACTTTAAATGTAAATGAATTAAACTCACTAGTTAAAAGACAAAGATTAACAGGAGAAAAAATATGATCTAACTATATACTGTCTCCAAGAGATTCACTTTAGATCCAGAGACACAAATAGGTTGAAAGTGAAATTGAAAGGGTACAAATAGTAACCAAAAAGAGAGCTGAGGTGACTATACTAATATCAGACAAAATAGACTAAGTAAAAAATTATTACAAGAGATAAAGAAGGACATTATTCATTTATAAAAGGGTCAGTTTATCAAGAAGATATAACAGTTATAAATATATACAAACCAAATGAAAACCCCCAAAGTATATGAAGGAGACGGAGACATTGACAGAATTGAAGGGAGAAATAGTTCTACAATAATAGTTGGAGACTTCAGTATGCTTGTTTCAATAATAGATAGAACGTGTAGACATTCTGATAGACTACTGATAGAATGTCGGTAACAAAATAGAGGGCCTAACATTATAAATCAACTAGATCTAATAGACATTGACAAAACATGCCACTCAAGAGCAGCAGAATATACATTCTTCTCAAGTGCACATCAGACATTCTCCAGAATAGACCAGATAGATCATATTTCAGGTTGTAAAACAAATCTCAATAAATTTTCAAAGATTAAAATCATACAGAGTATCTTTTCTGATAACAGTAGAATTAAACTATCCATCAATAACAGAAGGAAAACTGGAAAATTCATAAATATGTGGAAATTAACTAACACACTCTTAAACAACCAATGGATCAAAGAAGAAATCACAAGAGAAATTAGAAAATGCTTTCAGATGAACGAAAAGGAAAACAGAACTTACCAAAACTTACATGATGCTGCAAAAACAGTGCTCAGAGGGAAACTTATAGCTGTAAAACACCTATACTGAAAGAGAAGAAAGATCTCAAATCAGTTCCCTAACATTATACCTTATGGAACTAAAAAAAAAAGAGCAAACTAAACCCAAAGATAGCTGAAATAAGGAAATAAAAGAGCAGAGGTAAATGAAATGAAGAATAGAGAAACAGTAGGGAGAAGCAATGAAACAGAAAGTTGGGTCTTTGAAAAGATCAACAAAATTGAGAAACCTTTAGGGTAAGAAAAAAACAGAGAAGCAAATAACAAGATAATTAAAGAAGCAAAGTAACTAAAGAAGCAAAAGCAATTAAAATCAGAAATGAAAATGGGGACATTCCTACCTATTTTACAGAAATAAAAAGAATTATAAGAGAATACTATGAACAATTATATACCAACAAATTGGATTACATAGATGAAATGGACAAATTACTAGAAGCACACAAACTACTAGAAGTGAAAAAGAACTCTTACAACTCAACAAAAAGATAAACAACCCAATTAGCAAATGGGTAAAGGACTTGAATAAAGTTTTCTCCAAATAAGATATACAATTGGTCAATAAGCACATGAAAAGATACTTAATGTCATTAATCATGAGGAAAATGCAACTCAAAACCATGATACACTGCCTCACACCCTCTAGATTGGCTATAATTTAAAAACAAACAAGTGTTGGTGAGGATGTGGAGAAATTGAAGCCCTTATATTATTATTGGTGAGAATGTAAAATGGTGCAACCACTGTGAAAAACAATTTGGCCATTTCTCAGAAACTTAAACATAAAATTACCATATGACCCAATAATTCCACTACTAGTATAAACCCCAAAGAATTGAAAACAAGTACTTAAACAAGTACCTGTACATGAATATTCATAACAGTACTATTCACAATACCCAAAAGGTGGAAACATCCTAAATGTCCTTTAACAGATGAATGGATAAACAAATTGTGGTATACACGTACAATGGGTTATTAAACTCAGATATGGATGAACTTTGAAAACATTATGCTAAGTGAAACAAGCCAGACAAAGGGCTACATATCATATGATTCCATTTATATGAAGTATCTAATGTAGGTAAATCTGTAGAGACAGAAAGCAGATTGTTGGTTACCAGTGGCTGGATTGGGGAAATGAGGACTGATTGTTTAATGGGTCCGAGAGTTTCTTTTGGAGGGATGAAAATGTTTCGAAACTAAATAGAGGTATAGTAACATAACACCATAAATGTAATAAATGCCACTGAACT